CATATCATATCATATCATATCATATCATATCATATCATATCATATCATACCATACCATACCATATTATATTATATTTTATATAATATTACATCATTATCGTTATTGTAATCATCATTAGCATTATTTATGATTTATTATTGCGACAGGCTCAGGAGATGACGTCAGGGGTCGCTATACCGGGTCGCTTCTCCGTCGCCACACTGACCGTCCACGTGACAGCGGTCAACAGCCACGACCCTGTGCTCGAACTGACAGGGAGGGTCGGATTCGTGGAGGAGAACGCGCCTGTGGGCACCGTGGTGCGCACCGACAGGGATGAGTCGGCGCCGGGCATGCGCATCACCGCATACGACCCAGATCTCGTAAGAGAATACACTAGAAATAATATAGATAACATATAACGCACCCCACATTATGGTAGGTATGTGCCACTGCGAAGTGAAAAATGGGGGGGGGGGGCTCTGGAACTAACTCAGACCTGATAATGGGGGTCTCTGGAACTAATGTTTGTTGAATGTGGTATGCTCTGGAACTGGCTATGAGGAGGAGGAAGAGGAGAAGGAGGAGGGGGAAGAGGAGAGGAAGTAGAGAATGAGGGGAACGAGTGATGGAAGAATAGGAAGAAAGAGGAAGAATGAAGGATGTTCGTCAGATATATTTTTATTCATCACACACATGTGTAAGTTACGTGTATGTCTATGTATATATGTCTACGTGTATGTGTTATGGAGCAATAAATACACTAATGACCTTCGTAAGTCACTTTTGCCTTACATACACAGATTTGCAAGGTTTACAATATTTTAATAATTTTTTACAAATATTAAATAATTACAATATTTTAATACAATATACTAATATTTTAGATACTTTAGTCAAAACATCAGCTTTAACTATAATCGTCTTTAAAATTTACAAATTGACCTTTTAAAATGATCAGAATTGGTTGCTTTCAACATAGCCTGAAAATGCAGGAAATGCCATTTCCAGGCTCTAAATTTTAAAATTTTCCCCAGACCCCCGTATCGGCTTCGCGATCGCGGCGTTAGCCATGCGGGCCTGCGGCACACATCATAACCGCCACTTATGCTATTATCACTGGGTGATTCTACATTTTTTTGCAGTATCACATTTGGGAGGCCACCACGGCCCTGATAGTATATCTATATTATTTCTATGGAGAATACACTAGACCAGAGTCGTGCACGTATATTATACTATGATATACGTGCTCTGACTTGACACATCTGATGTGTTTATGCTTGCTAGCCCTGATCCCCTCCGTTTGGTAGTGTACGTCCTTTAGTTTACTGTTAAGTGTATAGAGCCGGGGCTGAGGTAG